TTTTTTTTTGTTAGATAGGATTCACCAATCTCTCAGCTGGCAGATGAAAGAGTCAAATGAACTGATTTCCTGAAGCAATGGGATGTGCGGTCAAGTATAGAGCAATATGAATATATCAGTCTCATGCAAAAGGTGAGAAGGCACTGGCTGAAACAGGAACTACTAAACCTCATTACTTGTGCATTCCATCCCACAACATCAACCCTTACAAAACTATTCTACAGCACCACATGCATAACCATTAAACTCAGTGCATCGCCGTAAATTAAGCTTCTTTAAAGCATTTTTCAGATTTAAAAATCGGCCTCTAAATGCACCTTTGGATTATATTTTTCTACCTTTAAGGGGACCTATTATGCCCCTTTTTTACAAGATCTAAAATATGTCGCTGATGTCTCTAGAGTGTGTGTGTGAAGATTTAGCTAGGAATATCCCACAAATAATGTTCTATGACTTTGTTGAAACTGCTCCGTTTTGGCTTTGATTCTAATTGTGCCATTTTGGGGACTAAATTTAAATAAGATTTACTTTACAAAAGAGGGCGGCGCTATAAATTCCAGTGTGTCAGCATAGTGGCAGATTAAAAGACTAATGTCCTATGCTAATGAGGGAGAGATCGTTACTATAATGAGTACCAGTAGAAAAGTACCAGTAGCTGGTTTTATTCACAGACTATTGCCACATAACTATGTTTAAACCCCTTATAAAAGTTTTTTTTTTTTTTTTTTGCATAATAGTTCCCCTTTAAGGTAATATGAGGTATACATTTGTACTTTTTAGGAATGAATATACCTTTTAATGGACAAATGTGGACCTGTTAGGTACAAAGTGTATTTGAGAAGGTATCACCCCACTGACAGGTTTTGTGCCTTTACTTTTGAGAGTGAACAGTAGGGCTGCACGATATTTGGGAAAAACGTTATTGCGATATTAGATTTTTCGGCAAATAATAACTTGACTTCTAGTTTGGAAAAGTGGCAGAAGGTAGATTTTTTCTGATGAATCATCTGTTGAACTGCATCCCAATTGTCTCAAATACTGCAAAAGACCTATTGGATCCCGCATGGACCCAATATTCTCAAAGAAATCAGTCAAGTTTGAAGGAAAAATCAAAGTTTGTGAATGCAAAGAAGGTGCTCCAGGATTGGCCAGCCCAGTCACCAGACATAAACATTTATGAGCATGCCTGGAGTAAGATGAAAAAGGAGGCTTTGAAGATGAATCTAAAAAATATTGATCTTGTTCTTGACTTGGGTGTCCTGCAAGAGTGCTTTCTTTTCCATTCCAGATGACTTTATCAGTAAGATATTTGAATCATTGCGAAGATGTATGAATATTCATTCTTATTAAATACTCATTCTTTTTCCATTGAACCATGGCTTTATACTGTGCATTAATTCTGTTAAGTGACAAGACTTTTGTCTAAGCAAATTCAGACCTTACTGTCCTAATTAAATAATTTTAAAAAAATCAAAGCATCATCATAATTTCTTTGGTAAAATAATTGTAATCTAGAGGCCTTTGTCTTTCATATAAGCCACTTTTGATACCAAATGATCAACTAGAAGTCGAGTTATTATGTGTTGTTATAGGTACATTTTTAAATACATTTATTTATAAATAAATAAATGTATGTATGTATATATATATATATATATATATATATATATATATATATATATATATATATATATATATATATATATATATTAGATTGATTGGGATGGTTTTGTTGGAGACTGCTTCTAAATGTAATAATATAATACACTAATCATATGCATTGATAAATACGATAGAGCTAATATACAATTGAAAAAGAAACTGAAATAAAATGCTTCTCTGGAAGTATAATAATATTCAGGTCAACTTACTGAATAATTAAACTGAAAATAAAAAAGGAGGATTCAACATGATTGTGCGGACTTGAAACAAATTTAACTTGTACAAATTAAATAAAATGAGTATGATCTCTGCAAGTTATCTTTTTTTGGATACACTTTGCATTTTAAATGGATTTCAAAATTATTTTAAGATCCTTCTTTTGACAAGCTTTGCAATGAATCCACAAATCAAATGTTTTCAACTCTGGTTCCTTGTCAAATGTAATCCAGGTTCAACATCGCAGATCCTGACTATTGCAGATGCACACATTGCGATTTCAATGCTTAAGCCATATATATTGTGCAGCCCTAGGGTACAAGAAGATTATCTCTGCCTGAAGCAAGACAGTTTTTAAAAATAAAAAAAGTTTCAGCCTGGATCTCATTTTCCATAAAAATATTATGGAATTCTCGTTAACCCTTGATCAAATCTGGTGCTGAAGCGCATCATGTGAAGCAGGCCATTTTTATGAGATTCCATCAGCCTTGATGCCTGGTCAATAATTGATTAAATAACACATCATGCATTACAAAATTGACTGGCTGGTGTCATTCTGATAAAACTGATATGTGTTTCTAGCTTCTCAGCTGAAGACATCCATCATCCAGACAGAGACTCAAAAGTAGAGCCAACATAATGAAAAACACACAAACTAATCCAGGTCTCAAAATCTCCCATGGCCTATAGATTTTCTACAGATCATCTAAAGGTGCACTAAGCAATATTTGAACAATGTTTTCGACCACTGTGTCAGACCAAGAAGGAAAACTAGCCCAGGCCCATTGGAAATATGTGCCTCAGCTCAACGAAATTAAAAAAACGTTGCTTTGGATACATTTTATTGCATGTTTCAGATGACAAAAATCCACTAGAGGGCGTTGTCGAATACGTTATTTAGGGTATGTTGTTGTACATTACAGATACACATCCTTGTTGGACACATCCATGAGAAGCTGGAGCTTGTTGTACAAATCCTAAACCCTTCCCTAAACCCAATCAATCAAGTTTTCAAAAGCAAACAAAAAAAGTACACCACAACATAAATTTACCTTGATTCTACATTGATTTAGATCTCTTTTGTGGAACCGTGCTTTAATGAACTCTAATCTGAGAACTCTAATTTAAAAGTACAACACTGTATGAAGTGAGCTACTGAACTAACTCACCATGGCAGAAAAGTTGTCCATATATAATAAATAATAAACATCATATATAATATGATAAATAGGTAAGGCAAACTTAATCGATTACAAATCAGACACTGTTAGGTTGTTCTGTGGTATTTATTTGGTGTTCTCCAAAGAGCCGCTCAAAAATAATCCTTTATTTGTCGATAATATGCCTCAGTATATGTCATTAGTGTAAAAAGGAACAAAAGTTGTTTGTATCATATTGCTCTGTGGTATTCATTTTACCAACTAACTTCAGTCAAATATATGCTTAAAAGTGCATTGTGTATGATTAATTACTTCACCTAGAGGCTGAAAAAGGCATTGCAGTACAAATTCAAAATAAGAGGGTTTTTTTTCACCTTGCTCCTCATCTGACTTGACACCCAAGCAGGTTGCCAGATTGACAAAACCAATAGGAGCGAGTAAGCTGTTCAGCTAATGTTTACATAAACACCTATAATATTATAATATTTGTAATATTATTAAAACACCTCATGTGATTTTTTATAACTGTGAATCTGCCTTCGATTTCAGAGGCTGCTAATGTCCTCTGAAGGTCACATTTATGACCACATTTTGTACCTTCATGACTGAAATTAAATGCATTGTGTTTTCCACTAAGGCAACCTGGCTTGCTGAAAGATAACTGAGTAAATTGGGCAGAGTTACACAAATCAAAACAAAAGCATGGAAAGCACATTTCAAGAATTTAGCATTGTTTATCAGATAAATTTGTTCACTTGCTTAAATGTTTTTAAATATATTACAGTATTTTTATGCTTAAGAAGAGTCAAAAACCAACATGTAGCACATTTAAATATGTAGGATAAAGCACATATTTCCAATGAGTCTTTACTGCCCAAAACACATCAGCATTGATGTCCTGTTGGGTTATGGGTGTTTGTTTTGGTGCTTTCAAATATTAATGACATTACGCTAAATTTGCTTAGAGCACCTTCAAAAAGAAAGTTCATTAAAGCATTGTCCTTCGGCTTCTGTCCCTTATTCAACAGGGGTTGAACTGCCAACTATTACAGCATATGTTTTACGCATCAAATACAACTCCAGCTGCAACCCAGACCTGGGAAACAGGAATATACCCAAAATAAAACTGAAAACAGCCTAAGTATTTACTCATCCACGTATTGTTTTAAACATTTATGGATTTCTTTCCTATGCTGAACATTTAAGCAGTCATTTTGAAGAAGGCTGGTAATCAAACAGCTAAAATCAATTCCTGACTTCCATAGTAAGAAAAAAAAAAATACTATGGAAGTTAATGGCTACAGTACCTGTTTGTTTACAAACATTCCTCAAAATATAATATTTAAGTAGATTAAAAAAAAAAAAAAGGTTATGCAGGTTTCAAGGGGTAAACAATCCCTTTAAGAAAAAAAAAACATCAAATCAAAACAACAAAAATAAATTTCATCTCATAAGATAACGTATGGCTTTTTAAAGACTTGAAATGTGGCTTACAAGTCATTTTGAACACTTTCCAGGATGTTTTTTTTTTTCCTTTATGTTAAAGTATAAGTTAATTGACATCATTTGAGTTTCATTGAAGAAAAGAAAATAACCAATGCACCTTTGGAGGGAATAAAAAAAGCAATTTTTTCTGGGTGATTTTAGAGTAAATCTGTGAGTAGAAAAGCATTGTAGATGTATATTTTTGCGTTTCACAGATATTTGAGCTTTATCACTTAAAAAAACATTCCTGCAATCCATGCAAATTTATAATGTTTTACAAAAAATATATGTTGGTAAATATTGCTGTTTACTATATACTGTTAACATTAGTTTGTACTTGTATAGCACTGTCATTTTAATATAATTTGACTTAGCAATATGCACCCACAGCTCAATCTGTGCTAATTTTGACTTCGCTATTCCCTTTCCATACATCTAAATTAACAAGACATTAAATTTCCCAACCATCATTACCTGTTAGATCATTTAAATAAACTATATTTATTCAAAAGGACATCTTGGTAGGACAGTATTTAAAATGTAATTGCATAACAACCAGTGCAAATGCTGCGATACAATTTTAAAAGTTATAGAAATTAACCTTTGTCAGAAATATCAGGCTACAATATCACGTTGCCCTTTTGGGAGGTGGATGAAAGGTAAAGGGATCTGAATGCATAGTTTCAGGGCGCACTTTTGTTTTGAGATCGCTGCGTGTGTTCAATAGAAACACACAGTGGCCGCGATGAGTCACAGCGATCCTGAGAATGTGCTTTAGATCAGTCTGTGCTGTTTATAGACCAGTCATAGGGCAGAAAGCTCACTTTGACCTTTCCTGTTGACAGCAGAGCCTGTAGTTTCCTCTTCTTCTGCGATGCTCTCATGTGGTCAAACACCCAGTTCAGCACCTGACAGAGAAAGTAATACTACATTTACATCTACATTCACCCTGCACTAACAAGGATGTGAAGGTACAGATTTTATTAATTCTTGCTTTCACTGTGAATCAAACACACAATCCTGATTCTATAGTGCTTTACTCTACTAATTGATCTACAGGAAGGCTTTGAGCTACAGGAAGTCTTTAGTAATTAATTAAGCACCTTTAAACACATAAAAGAACCCCTGCTCCCCTACCAATTGCTGCTAGATATCTCCAGTGTTAAAGACATTTGAAAAAAACGCTTTAAATTACTCTGTGTCAGGTTGTGTAGGATTCAGAACACTGAAGATGTTATCTAAAATTGTAGCGATTGGCAATTCATAAAGTGCATATTGAGAATAAAAACAAATTACAGACAAAAACATTATAATTAGTACCATATTAAATTTTCAAACACAGCCTATATATACTCTTTTTCTGCTTCTTAGGGCCTACTCACACTATGCCATCCGTACCGTGCCCAGGCCCGTTTCCCGGATCGTTTGAGAAGTGTGAGTGCACTGAATCGGGCTCAAGCACGGTTCACTTGGTCGGCCCTGGCCCGGTTGGAAGAGGTGTGCCTGAGCGCGGATCACTTGGGCTTTGGCGCAGTACACTTGTGTGTGATCGCAAAACGCGCCAAAGCCCGAAACCGAGACGTGACCTTTAAGGGGCTGTTTCATATGGATTTATTAATCATTCTTACTGTTCAGTGATCGCAAACTGCCGTAGTTTATTAAAGACGCAAACTCCTCACAGCATGACAGCTGCGCGCCTTCAGCAGACCTCCTCATTCCTGCAGCACGAGGGCTTTATGATTGTTTAGAAGCGCCAAAAGTGGCGGATCTGTTCGGTGAAATATCTGACTGCGTGTCACCGCATCCCTAAGGACTGTTTGGCGAAATATTTGACTACATGTCAATGCATGACAAACGACTGAAAGGATATAACTAGAGAAACCTCCACTGTGCTACTGGGTGAGAGCGTATGGCAAGCCGTTTTAGCATTTAAACCTTGTTCTGACTATTCATAAATATATTTAGAGATATAATTATATTTTGACTAGTCATAATTATAATTCGACTAGTCAGAATGACAATTAGAGATATCTGCAATTACAATTGTACTAGAACGAAATCAGATTGGAGATATTTGCAAATATATTATGACTAGTCATATTCCTCCATTGACTTTCATTGAAAAATATTTGCAGATATCTCTGAGTTTTGACTCGTCAAAAATCCAATTCAAGATATCTGTAAACTGTAATTCGACTATTAGTAAATTAATTAGAGATATCTTCAAATATATTAGTAAATATCTCTAAATATGACGAATTAAAGATATCTCCAAATGTATTATGACTAGTAAAAACTCAGTTAGAGATATCTGCAAATGTTTTTCAATGGAAGTCAATAGAGGAATATGACTTGTCATAATATATTTGCAGATATCTCCAATCTGATTTCGTAATTGCAGTACAATTGCAGTTGCAGATATCTCTAATTGTTATTCTAACTAGTCGAATTATAATTATGACTAGTCAAAATATAATTAGAGATATCTCTAAATATATTTATGGAGTCAGAACAAAGTCAGAACAAAGATTTAAATGCTAAAAAGGCTTGCCATAGAGAGCGCCTCTGAACAGCGCAGCAGCGATGACGTAAGCGTGCCGAGGCCCGATAAGGTGTGAGCGCGGGCCGTCTGGGGAGACGGGAGGGGGGACAAGCAAGCTTTGGCCCGGTTCGAGGCAACTGTACCTAGTGTGAGTACGGCTTTAAAGTGCTAGTAGCCATGTACTAGCCATAATTGCCAAAAAATCAGTTTCACTTTAAAACCTTACTATTTTTAATACTAAACAAGTAACCTGCATCTTTTTATTAATTGGTTCAATTGTTCAAGTTCCTCTCCATATGCACCAGACACCTTCTATAAGTGCCACATACACTGCCACTTTATAAGGTACACCTTACTGGTACCAGGTTGGACCCACTTTTCAGAACTGCCTTTAACGAGGTACTGCAAATATTCCTCAGAGATGTTTCTCCATATTGGCATGATAGCATTACCCAGTTGCTGCAGATTTGTTGGCTGCACATCCATGATGCAAATCTCCTGTTTCACCACATCCCAAAGGTGCTTTATTAGATTTATTAGAGTTCTGGTGTCTGTGGAGTACAGTGAGTAAAGTGAACTCATTGGCATGCTCAAGAAACCATTCATTCATTCATTCATTCATTTATTTTCTTGTCGGCTTAGTCCCTTTATTAATCCGGGGTCGCTACAGCGAAATGAACCGCCAACATATCTAGCACATTTTTACACAGCGTAAAAAGGAAGATGCCCTTGCAGCCGCAACCCATCTCTGGGAAACATCCACACACACATTCACACACACATTCATACACTATGGACAATTTAGCCAACATAATTCACCTGTACCACATGTCTTTGGACTGTGGTGGAAACAGGAGCACATGGAGGAAACCCACGTGAACGCAGGGAGAACATGCAAACTCCACACAGAAACGCCAACTGAGCCGAGGATCAAACCAGCGACCCAGCAACCTTCTTGCTGTGAGATGACAGCACTACCTACTGCGCCACTGCGTCGCCCGTTCAAGAAACCAGTCTGAGATAATTTCCGCTTTATTACATGGCGCGTTATCTTGCTGGAAGTAGCCTTTAGAAGATGGGCACACTGTGGTCATAAAGAAATGGACATGGTTAGCAACAATACTCAGGTAGGCTATGGAATTGGTACTAATGAGCCCAAAGTGTGCCAAGAAAATATCCTCCACACCATTACACAACCACCACTTACCTAAACCATTGATATCAGGCAGGATGGATCCATATTTTTATGTTGTTGACGCCAAATTTTAACTTCACCATCCAAATGTTGCAGCAGAAATCGAGACTCATCAGACCAGGCAATATTTTTCCAATCTTCTATTGTTCACTTTTAGTGAGCCTGTGTGAATTGTAGCCTCAGTTTTCTGTTCTTAGCTTACAGGAGGGACAAGTGGTGTTGTCTTCTGCTGCTGAAGCCCATCCGCCTTATGGTTGGATGTGTTATGCATTCAGAGAATCTCTTCTGCATACCTTGGTTGTAATAAGTGGTTATTTGAGCTACTGTTGCCTTTCTATCAGCTCAAACGGTCTGGCCATTCTCCTCTAATCTCTAGCATCAACAAGGCATTTGTGCACAGGACTGCCGCTCACTGGATATTTTCTCTTTTGGGACCATTCTCTGTAAACCCTAGAGATGGTTGTGCGTGAAAATCCCAGTACATCAGCAGTTTCTGATACTTAGATCAGCTCGTTTGACACCAACAACTATGCCATGTTCAAAGTCACTTAAAAACCCTTTCTTCCCCATTCTGATGCTCAGTTTGAACTGCAGCAGATCGTCTTGACCATGTCTACATGCCTTAATGCATTGAGTTGCTGCCATGTGATTGGCTATATAGAAATTTGTGTTAACAAGCAGTTTCACAGGTGCACCTAGTAAAGTAACCGGTGAGTGTACATGTCATGCAATTCTGAGTGTGCGCCACAAATGTGAGTTGGCTTTACAAACTCCTGTAGGACACACTCACTCCTTTCAGTATGCTTACAGCAAAGATCCACAAACTAGGGCCCGTGGGCAAAAGTTGCCCCATGCTAAACTTTGATTTTGATCGCCATCCCATCTAAGAAAAGAGGGAGAATGATGGGGATGGTTTCAAGATTGTCAATTCAAATGAAATGTAACCTTTTGTTTGTTTCATTGCTAAAAGCTAACTGAAATTAAATGTTGTAAATCAGTGGTTCTCAAACTGTGGTACGTGTACCATTAGTGGTACGCGGAGGAATTAAATATGTCATGTACGTGCTACATATATTTCAAAACCTATTAAAAATTATGTATATAATATGACATATAGTCTATATTTCTGAGGTAATCTGCCACGTTTTTTAACTGTGCAGAGTTGTAGCTGCTTTAATGAGCCTACTACGCTACTGTATTTTAGTACTGCTCATTTTGGTGGTACTTGGAGAGACTGGATTTTTTTTCTCAGGTGGTACTTGATGAAAATAGTTTGAGAACCACTGGTGTAAATGAATAAGATTTTGTTTTAATGTACATACTGTCACCCGACAAAGCAGAGACTTTAGTGAGTCAATCAAGTCAAAGGGAGATTCTGCTTGACTAGAGTATCACCATTGAAATTCACTGTATTATAAATGTGATTGTCTGTGATTTAACTGCAATAAGTTATCATTTAAAAAGTTACAATGCATTACTTCACATGATTTAAAAAAATGTTTTCTATTTATTTTGAAATATTATGAAAAATTTGGAAATTACCCTTGACAGCTTTAATGTAATATAGTTTGGTATATTTACTTCCAGCCCACGGCTGTCAATGATATTTGGTTTTTGGCCCTTCATACTAAGAAGTTTGGGCACCTGGCTTGGAGGGAAGATTAAAAAATGTATTTAAAAGGTTTATTAAAATGAATAAAACTTTTTTTTCTTAACTAATAAATCAAATTAACTAATATTTAGACTTTTATAGCATTTATATACTGCTCCTCTATACTCTGCTTCTTGTATCCTCACTTGTAAGTTGCAAATGGATATATGAATACATGTAAATGCAATTACTGATATGTATGGTTACTGTGAATGTTGATTAGCCTGCCTGAACATTTCCAGTGAACTGTTATGTCATTATAAACTCGCTTTAAGATCTTACTTGTTCAACATCTGTGATCTCCACTGCCTGATTAGGACAACATTTAAAGTGGGTCACACAACATACAAGAAGCCGTGCACCAGGTCTATTTAGGTCTATTTAACTGGCTACATTCTGATCATAAATTAAGTATTACACCCCTCTAACTGAATCCACTATTTTAGGAGTATGGCAGGACACTGTGCTCTGCTAATGAACATCACTTCGTGACTCTGTTTCAAAGGGGCACAAAATCATTTTCAAGGACTTTGGTGGACATCTCTATGCAGAGCCGTTGAATCTCTGGCCATTTTTAATAAACAGCTAAAGAGGCATCCGTTTTATCAACACTTAATTGTCCAACAACAAGCCTACTTATTCTTGATCTATCTGCTTTTACTGTTTGTTTCTTTGTTTTAAAAGGAAAAGCTAATGCACAGTGCTAAACTAACTGAATCTTGTTACTACATCTACATATTGCTGCTTTTCTGGTAATTTGAAGTGCTTCAATTATCCTCATTTGTAAGTCCCTTTGGATAAAAGCATCCGCTAAATGAATAAATGCAAATGTAAATGTACTGAGCATGCCCGACCCTGCTTAGCATAAATGGGCAACCACACTTGGGCTACAGAGCCATATGGCAGCTGTGGCAATGGTGTGGTAGGAACATTGTAATGGTTAACTTCAACTTTAAATTCATTCTGTATCGCTCTTTTATTTGTACCAGATACCCCCCAGGCCTTTAAGGCTGATTTATACTTCTGCGTCAAGCCATGAATATGGGCTGGTATAGCCTTCCCGCAGTCGTATAACCCTCACTGTGACTGACACGCACCTCTCAATAAAAGTAACTAAACGTCGCAATGATGTGTAGCGCAAGCTCTGTGATTGGTCGGCTTGGTGGCTGTGATGAGTGTGGGCAGTGCTGGAATGTTGAATCCCATAAAGGAGCTCCAGATGGAAGCTTTTGTTTTGTGTTCACCTACAATGATTAAAGTTGTTGCACGTCTGCCTGTTTCCGCCTCTGAATGAGCAAGTTTGAGCTACTTGTACATTAAGATAGTGTTAAAAAAACAGAACACCCGTGAAGAAACTGGACACAGAGGAATATAACAACCTGCTAGCAATTCGGAAGTGCAGAGCAACACAAACAGCACAGAGAAGTAAAAATGCACGACTAAGCGCAAGGCAGGCACTGTGGATCACATCGATCACTCGATGCAGAAGAATAAACCGGCCTTTAGTTGGAACTTTATTAGAAACTCATGTCATTATGAAAAAAAAAACATACGCATGAGTATGGTATTATGGCTGAGGGAGCTCAAATGCACAATTTAACAACAAATGTGCATGCAAATTCTCACAACACATGTAAATAGAGAAATGCCTTGCAAATAGCATAGACCACAAAAGAAATATGTTGGGGACCCAAAAAGTAAAGAATCTGGCTGCTTCCTGTGTAGAGTCAGCTGCATTGTCAGAGATCAACAAAAAAACTCACGCCCTATTAACACGGGGCTTCAGCGTCAACGCTTGACTGAAGTGTGTGTGTCTGTGTGTGTGTCTGAAGTTGGGGCTGAAGCGATCATCATAGCAGTGTCAGCCAATGAAATTCAGTTAGCAATAGGCCACTGTGTAGCTGGTGTATTTGCAAACAGCGCTCTGATCGGCTGACGCTTCCGTCGGCGCTTGAAAAGTTGAGCTAGTCCCAACTTCTGCAGCGAGCAACGCCCCTCGAGCAGCGCCGACGGATCCACAATGCAGTTCGGCAACGCCTGACGTCACCCATTCAAAGTGAATGGGAATCGTTGATGCTGACGTCCCCTGTGAATGGGGCGTCACCTCTCATATCTAAAATACTGCAGATTTATGTTTTTCGTAATGACATTATAGTAAAAATTGAGAGTGCAGACTGTGCACGGTATGTCCAGTTTAGCTCAGTTACCATTAGCCATATCACATAAAATATAACTACACATTTTGCGACATGTAGCACAAGAGCTGCAATTGGACGGCTTGGTAGCTGTGACAAGTGTGGGCAGGGCCGAGAACTGTGGTAACGTAGCTTATCCAACGGCGCAAGTGTTTAAAAAATGTCGAGGCCTGCAGAGGAGCTCCATATGGATACTTTGGTTTTGTGTTTACTTTATGATTTAAGTTGCTGCACATTCGCCAGTTCTAACCCTAATCCTAACCTTCTCCTTTTTCTTCATTGAACAAGTAAAGGTTTGAGCTATTTATACAGTAATACAGTAACTCAAATTACCAGCAAAGAAACTTCACACAACAAGTAAGTAATGTGAATTTATATAGCTCATTTTTGGTATGTGGCTATACACCCAAAGCGCTTCACAATCATGAGGGGCATCTCTCCAAATCACCACCAGTGTGCAGCATCCACTTGGATGATGCAATGGCAGCCAAAGGACAACAGTGCCAGTGCGCTCACCACACACCAGCAATTGGTGGAGTGGAGAGATAGTTATACACCCAATTCAGTGGACGGGATGATTGGGAGGCCATGTAATGTAATGGCTGATGTAGGTAAACTGGCCAGAACACCAGGGTTACACGCCACTCTTTACGAGAAGTGCCATGGGATTTTTAATGACCACATTGAGTCAGCACCTCAGTTTAACTCTCATCTGAAAGACAGTGCACACTGACAGTATACTGTCCCCTTTACTATACAGGGGCACATTTTGAGTGCTCCCTGATGACCTCACTAACACCACTTCCAACAGCAACCTATTTTCCTTTGTGGTCTTCCACCCAGGTACTGACCAGGTTCAGCCCTACTTAGCTTCAGTGAGTTGCCAGTCTTGGGCTGCAGGGTGATATGACTGTAGCAATAACAAAGAGAAACACAGAAACCCAACTGCCTGCTAGCATTTCAGAAGTGTTAATGTCAGTGCAACACAAACAGAACACAAAAGTATAAATGCATGGCTACATCTCTGCGAACTTCCATTGTGATCTGTGATATTTGCAGTGTGTTTTCATGTGTTGTGAATATTTGCGGGCGTTCTTTGTGTGTGTTGTCATATTATTTAAATTTGTTTTTTCAGTATTTTTCTACATGCTTGTGCTTGTTCTCTTGGCTACTGTAAATTGGGTTTAAATGTAACAACAACATTATCTTCCATGAGCACTTGCTTTGACAGTGATGATATACATTTACGATACCTTATCATCAGTGCCTCCAAAGTCGCCCTTGTACCACTTAAAGATCTGGCTGAGCTTCACTTCTCGTCCTGTGTTGTCAATCACACAGCTGTCATCATTCTCCAGAAAAGCTTCAGCTGCAGTGCGCAACTGACCATCAATGTCCTGATGGCAGACACACATCAAAGTTTGACTATATTGACACAATATGCTTTACATGGGCATACAGCATTTCTTTTTTGACTGTCTTGTAAATGATTAAGGTTTGGTTTACCTGCGGAGTGTATGTTTTAATCGGTGGGCAGCCCTTGGCACCACAATTCAGTGCAAAATGAATAAGAGGCTCGACGTCAGGAAGCGCCACCTAGTGGATGAAGGTAAGCTTGTTTTAAACTTTTTTTTTATTTCTGACGAACAGGCAAAGATGCAGACTCACAAAAACACACACCATGGTCTGACTCGCCGGGACAAGCATTTGCATTATTGCATCCCTCCAAATTAGTTTTTTTCAAGATAGCCTGACAAGAATGCAAGTACGTTCTCTGATTTCTAATTGAGAAACAGCCATATAGTTTGTTGCAATGATAGCAACAGTGATTTCCCTAAATGTAATGTGCATTTATATGGTGCATTTATTATGCTTTACTATATACCTAAAGCAAAGTACAACTGCAGATTTAATGCCTCATGATTTATTTTGAAATCTTTAAAGTGACAGATTAACCAAAAATGAAAACAACCTTATCATTTACTCTCCCTCATGTGTTGTTTTTTTCACTTTTTAAAACATAAAAGATGATATTCTGAATAATGTTGGTGCATGACATCCATCAACTTCCATAATAGGACAAAAAGATTATCAACATTTTTCAATATATCATTTTTGTGTTCCACAGAGGAAAGAAACTCAAATAGGGAGTAAACGAATGTCAGAATCTACATTTTTTGAGTGAATTTTCATGTTAATTCTACTTTAACTACAGCGCAAGTGGCAAGTACTCATTGCACTTTTTCCCACATTTTTTGTTACAGTCTTATTCCAAAATGGATTAAATTCATTAATGTCCTCAAAATTCTACACACAATCCTGCATAATGACAATGTGAAAAAAAAAAAGATTTTTTAAAATAGTTGAATATTTATAAAAAAAAATTTTTTTTAAAAATCACATGTACAGAAGTATTCACAGCCTTTGCCGTGAAGCGCTAAATTGAGCTCAGGTAGAATCTGTTTCCATTGATTATTCTTGAAATGTTTCAGCAGCTTAATTGGACTTCACCTGTGGTAAATTCAGTTGATTGGACATAATTTGAAAAGGCATACACCTGTCTATACAAGGTCCCAGGGTTGACAGTGCATGTCAAAGCACAAACCAAGCATGAAGACAAAGGAATTATCTGTAGACCTCCGAGACAGGATTGTCTTGAGGTACAAGGCTGGGGAAGGTTACAGAAAAATTTCTGCTGCCATGAAAGTCCCAATGAGCACAGTGGCTTCCATCATCCGTAAGTGGAAGATGTTTGGAACCACCAGGAATTTTCCAAGAGCTGGCTGGCCACCTGATGGTCACTCTGTCTGAGCTTCACAGTTCTTCTGTGGAGAGAGGAGAACCTTACAGATAGACAACCATGTGTGCAGCAATTCACCAATCAGGCCTGTCTGGCAGAGTGGCCTGACGGAAGCCACTCCCGACCTGGAATTTGCCAAAGAGCATCTGAAGGACTTTCAGACAATAAGAAACAAAATTCTCTGGTCTGATGAGACTACAGTTAAACTCTTTGTAGTAAATGCAAGACGTTACGTTTTGAGAAAACCAGGCACCACTCATCAGTGAAGCATGGTAGTGGCAACATCATGCTGTGGGGATGTTTGCTAGCAGCAGGAACTGGAAGACTAGTCAGGATAGAGGGAAAGATGAATGCAGCAATATACAGAGCGATCCTAAATGAAAACCTGCTTCAGAGTGCTCTTGACCACAGACTAAGGGCGTACTCAGATTATGTACAGTTGCCTTGAACTGGGCCAAAGCACGCTTGTCCCCCCTCCCGTCTCACCCGACGGCCCGCACTCATAATACATTAGGGCCTGGGCAAGCTTACGTCGTCGATGATGCTCTGTTCAGAAGAGCTATCGCTCAGCACAGAATTGATTTCTTTAGTTATGTCGTCTGACTTGCAGTGAAACGCAGTCAAATATTTCGCTGAACAGATCATCCCCTTTTGACGCTCATAAACAATCATAAAAAAGTCCTCGTGCTGCAGAAATTAGGAGGTTTGCTGAAGGTGCGCAGCTTTCGTGCAGTGGTGGGTTTGCAGCTTTAATAATCTACGACAGTTTGCATTCATTGAACAGTAAGAATGACTAATAAATCCATATGAAACAGTCACGTCTCGCTTTCAGTTTCGGGCTTACACTCACACACAAGTGTACCGCGCCAAAGCCCAAGTGAACCGCGCTCAGGCACACCTCTTCCAACCGGGCCAGGACCGGAAAAATGGACCGTGCCTGAGCCTGATTCAGCGCACTTACACTTCTCAAACAATCCGGGAAATGGGCCTGGACACGGTTCGGATAGCATAGTGTGAGTAGGCCCTAAGGCAACAGTTCATCTTCCAGCAGGACAATGACCCAAAGCACACCACCAAAATATCAATAGAGTGGCTTCGCAACAACTCGGTGAATGTCCTTGAGTGGGCCAGCCAGAACCCAGAACTAAATCATATTGAACATCTCTGGAGAGACCTGAAAATGGCTGTAACACTGTCGCTTACCATCCAACCTGATAGAGTTTGAGAGGTACTGCAAAAAGGAATGGGCAAAATTTCCCAAAGACAGGTGTGCCAAGCTTGTGGCATCTTATTCAAAAAGACTTGATGCTGTAATTGCTGCCAAAGGTGCATCAACAAAGTTTTAAACAAAGGTTGTGAATATTTATGTCCATGTGATTTTTCAGGTTTTTTATTTTTAATAAATTTGCTACAATTTCAAAAACGCTTTTTTTCCACATTTTCATTATAGGGTAATGTGTTTAGAATTTTGAGGAAATAAATGAATTTATTCCATTTTGCAATTAGGCTGTAACATAAAATAATGTGGAAAAAGTTTCCGGATGTACTGTATATTGCTGGCCTTAAACCTGAAGTGCAACCACTGTTAAAAATGCTGAGTTCCACAAAATTCCTTCATGTTGTCCCATCACAAACTGATTTAGTTAACAAATTTAAGTGGATTGAACATAAAACAATTAAGTTGTCCCACAAAAACTTAAGGATTTTGTTGTTTCAATTTATTTTAAAGACATAGTTTGAACAAGTAATTTTTTGAGTAAACCAAACCATAAATTATCTAGTATACCTGCAGTCGTGGGTCATCCCTGGAGAAGGGTTTCAGGAATTGTCCCACACCTTTTCGATTTCCTCGAAGTACTCCATTCTCAATATCCTGCAGTGTGAACACCTCACCGCCAATGAAGTAGCTCACGTAGTTAAAAAACTGGAAAACAAGAGACCAAATGTACGAGCACTGAAACCATTTATTTCTTTCACTTTCTGTCCTAAAAATCCACTTCTCTTACCCGATACCTTTGCCATATGTTTTTGGGAAAGCCCAGACGCAGGTTCCCGTGGATGACAAGTGCGTTGTAGATGTTGATAAAGAAGGCCAGTTTTTCTTCTCGACTCATAGAGAGCAGCTCCACACGCTGAAGTCTGACAGCCAGATCACAGTAGCGCTCGAAGTACAGGCTCCGGGACATTGCCTTGTAATCAACTGTCTGGTCAAAAAAACAAGTCACAAAACACACACACACACACACACACACATCTTTCTTGTCTGAAGCATTGGCAGAACGTTCCTTAAGTAACACTCCACTTTGTTTGGAAATTTTCTCATTTTACAAGTCACCTAGGGTTAAATTGATGAGTTTTTCAATTTTTCAGGCAATCTCTGGATCTGCTGGGAGCACTGTTAGCTTAGCATAAATCATTGAATCAAATTAGACCATTAGCATCTTGCTCAAAAATTTTTAAAATAATTTATATAATTACTATTTTATTATTATTGGTCTTAGTACACAATGAGTGAGATGTAACAAGTGAGATGCTAATGGTCTAATCTGGTTTAAGTATTTATGTTAAGCTAAGCTATAGTGCTCCCGCCAGACATGTAGAGCGGCTAAATGGATTAAAAAATGATAAAACTCAACTCTAGGGGAGTTGTAAATGGAGCTGTTTTTCAAAAAACCAGATTGTTACTTTTTAGATCCTTCACAAACATCAAACGTCTGAATGCATGTAAACTTCTGTCTGTGGCAAATCCTTTCACAATGGTCTTATATATGTATTTGATATGCAGTATGTGATGAGAGATTGACGCAGTGAGTTACCTTGCCATTTTCAGAGAGGTGATCGGAGTAAAGTTTCAGGATCAGATTCCTCAGCGTCTCCGAGAGCTCACACCCTGCTGACAAACAATGAGAATGAAAAAGGACTTAAACAAAATACAAAAGGCTTTAAGCTACGGTAGATGTGTACGTTTTGTTGATAATGAAAATGATAGTAAAGTAAACAAAAGAGGCAGCAGCAGAACGGTATTACAGTTGTACATTGGTTTATGTTTAAGGATGTGGTGGAATTAAAATTCGATATTCCCATTCGATATTCTCGCTTAAATCGATTCTGAGCCTAATTTTTTTTTCCACTTATTTCTTAAACGAAGCAAGTCGTTCATATAATTTATATACCATACATCTACTAAAAAAATGAAATGATCACTTTACAAGCTGTAAAGTACTAAAATTAATTTAAAAAGCTGAATAAATATACATTTACACAAGAGTATAAATAAAATCAATGATGAGTTAAAAATCTGTGCATGCAGATTTCATGTGGACCTACTTATGAGCAGTTGAGTGTACAGTTAAAAGCTAGCCCAGAGCACCCTCTTCTCTTAAAAAGTCAGTTAAGGATTGATTAGATAGAGAATAGCGATGCATTTTGAGAATCTAAGAACAGATACATTTTCTTCAAATTATTTTTGGCCTAAGTTCTAGTTTATGGCAGTCAGCATGTGATTAAATTATTATGTTCATGCAAGAAAGACAAAATTAATCAATTAAAGTATATAGGTGACTTTTCCAAGAAGCCCATTTACTGTAGATGAAAATGTGGAAATCCAAAAAAATAACTACATAAAAGAAACTTTGAGAATCCAATAAATGATATAATCAACATACAAGCAAAAAATTTCACTTGCGCTATATATAGTTAGGTTCATAAATATGTGACAGTGACACATTCTAACATTTTTGGTTCTATACACCAACACAATGGATTTAAAATGCAACCGTGTGCTTTAACTGCAAACTGTCAGCTTTAATTTGAGATAATTTACATCCAAATCAGGTGAACGGTGTAGGAATTACAACAGTTTACATGTGCCTCCCACTTATTTAGGGTCCAAAAGTAATTGGACTATTGGCTCCTAAGCTATTTCATAGCCAGGTGTGTGTTATTTCCTTATTCCCCAGAGTTAATTTCAAGTGTGCTATTCGCATCTGTTACTGTCAACTCTCAAGATAAGATCCAAAGAGCTGTCACCATCAGTCAAACAAGCCATCATTAGGCTAAAAAACAAAACAAACCCATCAGAGAGAAAAAAAAGAACATTAGGCATGGCCAAAACAACTGTTTGGAACATTCTTAAAAAGAAAGAATGCACCAGTGGGCTCAGCAAAACCAAAAGACCCGAAAGACCATAGAAACAACTGTGGTGAATGACCGAAGACTTCTTTCCCTGGTGAAGAAAACACCCTTTACCACAGTTGGCCAGTTCAAGAACACTCTCCAGTAGGTAGGAGTCTGTGTGTCAAAGTCAACAATCAAAAGAAGACTTCACCAGAGGGAATACAAAGGGTTCACCACAAGATGTAAACCATAGGTGAGCCTCAGAAACAGGAAGGCCAGATTAGAGCAAGATGAAGATGAGATCAAGATCAGCTTGTACCAGAGAGATGGGAAGAGAAGAGTATGGAGAAGGAAAGGAACTGCTCATGATCCGAAGCAGTGAAGGATGGTGGTAGTAGTGTCATGGCGTGGGCTTGTATGGCTGTCAATGGAACTGGTTCTCCTGTATTTATTGATGTAACTGCTGACAAAAGCAGCAGGATGAGTTCTGAAGTACTATTTTCTGCTCATATTAAGCCAAATCCAGTGCAGATGCAGAATGACCCAAAGCATCCTGCAAAAGCAGTTTTTGTAGGGAAAGTGGAATGTTATGCAATGTCCAAGTCAATCACCTGATCTGAATCTGATTAAGCATGTATTTTACTTGCTGAAGACAAAACTGAAGAGAAAATTCCCCAAGAGCAAGCAGGAACTGAAGACAGTTGCAGTACAGGCCTGACAGAGCACCACCAGGGATAAAACCCCATGTCTGGTGATGTCTATGTGCTCCAGACGTCAGGCTGTAAATGACTGCAAAGGATTTGCAACCAAGTTTTAAAAAGTGAAAGTTTGATTTATGATTATTATTCTGTCCAACTACTTTTGGACCCTTAACAAGTGGGAGGCACATATGCAAAATGTTGTAATTCCTACAGAATTAACCTGATTTGGATGTAAATACCCCTGAATTAAAGCTGACAGTCTGCAGTTAAATCTTGTTGGTTTAATTTCAAATCTTTTGATTTGGTGTATAGAGCTAAAAATTTTAGAATTGTGTCAATGTCGAAATATTTATGGACCTAAATGATATATTTGCAATACTATGTTATTAGGTTAACACTAAGGTTACACAAATGATGTCTTTAAAAGAATAAAAAGAGGCAATGAAACATATCATGCTATTTTATGATTTAAACATATAATATTTAATTTTAAAAATGTATGAGAAAGTGTGATACATTATTTGTTATGGTAAGCAAGAAAAGAGACTGCAGCAACAACATTATCTGAAGTTTAGCACTCTTTTCTATGGTAATCTGCTGCTTATATAATCTTTAATCCATATTCAAATACTTAATTCTGCAGGTAAAGTCTAACACCTTAAAAACCTAGCAAAAATGTTGTTATTTTATAGTGTAACCCCCATGCTTGCTGCTTTAAAGATGCATACTAAAACATCCAGACAAGCTTACAATATTTAAAAGTAGTAGAGGCAGAAAGATAGGTTTTCCAAAGAGAAAGGTGACTCTATAGCAGCTGACATACTGTAAGCTGCAATGCTAAGACATATAGAGAACAATATGATGTATGGTGGCATCTTTACTTCTGCCTTTATGTGGATTTTATTAATAGTAGACCCTTTCAGGATCTATTAAATAAGAGAGTAATTCAAATACCAGTTTTAAAGTGAAGATTTTGAATTAGCAATGCGTTTTGCTGTTCAGATGTTAAGCTACAAATGTAAATGTGTGGTGGAAGAAAGTAGCTCTTTTTCTCAAATGCGTTTTGAGACTCTCTGTGTTTAATTTGAATAGTTATATTCACGATTATGCCATCGAGCTGTTGTATACACATAATATCACATAAAAAGCAGTGCGAGAGAGATTGCAGGAAATGTGTCTTGTACTTGAGCTGCAAAAACTTTTAGACAATAGACAACAAGTAACATAAGTAACATTAATAACAAAAACAGCAGTGACCTTTAAAAAGTGCAATAAAAGGAGGTTGGCAATTTAAAATAACAACAGATAGAGGTACAAATGATTTCTTATAGCAGTTACTTCTGCACAAACTCTATAATCGCTCCCCTGATGACAATAATTCTCACATTGGAAATAAAACAGGAGGATCATTTACAATGAATGTAAGGATGACATATATGTATCTAAAACTAATATAATGTTTGCAAAGCAGTTATATAAAATAAAAGAACAATTAAAATCACTGTTTTTTAACCGTCTATTGTGTGCTGTTTGGTTATGCTTTTTTTACAGATTCTACAGAAAGTAAAAACTACTTGCTCTTGGCAAAACTAGGGCCAGACAAAATCTGCAGACCTGACCATGTCAAACTTGACATGAAAAAAATAAAATAAAAATTGGCGAAACCCTTCTAAGGTTGTTTTTATAGGCTTGAACTTGACACACTCAAAATGTCAACATTTTCACATCTGTCATATCCGTAGCAAAACTTTTTCCTTATAAAAATAAAATAAGTAAATAAAGTGCAATTTAATAAGTGCAATTTAATTCACAGACTTTCTGCAAGTTATGCTGTAAATTTTTTTTATACTTTTTTGCCCACAACCGTAACACGTTTATTTCCCTCATTTCAAATATAAAACACATTTACAGATGTATATTTTCTGACTTAACTCTGTGGTTATTTGTTTTAGAAAATGTAAGAAGTTTCAATGTACTGTTAATGTTTACATTTACCGGCCACTTTACTAGATACAACTGCTCGTTAATGCAAATTTCTAATCAGCCAATCACATCTGCTGCAGTTCAAAGTGAGCATGTGGCATGGCTGTTGGTGCCATCTTCTGATGGCTACTTCCGGCAGGATAACGCACCATGTCATAAACCATGAATCATCTCAGACTGGTTTCTGGAACATGACAATGAGTTCACTGTACTCAAATGGCCTCCATAGTTACCAGATCTCAATCCAATAGAGCACCTTTGGGATATGGTGGAATGGGAGACTCATAGATGTGCAGCCGACAAATCTGCAGCAACTGCGTGATGCTATAATGTCAATACAGACAAAAATCTCTGAGGAATATTTCCAGTACCTTGTTGAATCTCTGCCATAAAGGATTAAGGCAGTTCTGAAAGCAAAAGAGGGTCCAACCTGGTACTAGTAAGGTGTACCTAATGAAGTAGCTGGTGAATGTACATTCTTAAAATTTTATTGAAAATGTCACATCCATAACGCTGGAATTGCTCTGGTCTGATAGAATTGTTAATATGCAGTTATATGAAGAAGTGTACACACTGCCATCTGAACACTGGTAATCAACAAACAAGCAGACCGACATGACAGAAAAAGCAGGTCTCGGTCCACTTGCAAATATCAAAACTAAAATAAATAAATAAATAATTGGTACTTCCACAATACAATATGAAATGCATTACATCGTTGTGTGATTTGATCAGAAAAAGACTGTCCCGAGGGCAGTAATGCTGTAAATAATGTTCCATTTCTTGCACAGACTGATTGTGTCGCTTCAGAAGATCTCTAGAGATGGCAACTATTACCTTACATTTTATGAATCATCACCACGGATCCCAGGAGCTTTCCTGCACAGAGAATTACTCCATCAAATTTTGTACCACCTGCACCTTTTGACAAAAAACAGCCAGGAAGTCACTGTGACCGACAAACCCCAAAGTGATGCTCAAGCACTGCTCATGTATTTAATTTCATCTAATGTTGGCATTTTATACAGCGTAAGTTATAATATTTTTAAAAAAAATTGCTGCTTGTTCAAAACTACTTATTTAAAATGAG